CCACGAACACGTGTACAGTTTGGCCGAAGAGTGACTAGACTTGAGGTGAACGTCCAGAGTTGTGGAGCGCGCGAACGACTTGTTGCAGTCCAGGACAGGACACGCGTACGGCTGTAATGACAACAATGAGTGGCCAATAGCGACAACAATAACGCTAACCCTGTTGCCGGTGTGGACGGCGTTCATGTGTTCGTCCAACAGTTTGGTGCGTTTGGCCGCATAACTACATCCCGGCCACGAACACGACATCCCGATCTTCGACCCGCTTTTGACCCGCAGTTTGAACTTCAGAGGCTTTTCGTTCGCTCTTTCGGACGCTTTCTTCTCTTCCAAAAGGCTTTTGTATTCTCTCTCTAGTGTCTGACAAAACTCGTCGCTCTCCTCCCTCTCCAACACTGTTGTCCTGAACTTCAACAACACGTCGATTATCTTCTTCGCCATCAGAAGATCATTCCTCAGCGACTGATTCTCTTTCTTCAATTGACTTATTTTTTGGTTCTTTTGTTTCGCAAAATTCTTACTCTTATTGACAATCAGTAATTCGTTTCGCATTTTCTCCACTTTTCTCTTCAAAACCTCAATGTCTTTGTTTTCATCGCAAATCTCTTCGCACTTCTTGTTCCGATTACTTCTTCGGTGATTGTCTTCACTCACTTCCTCCGAAGCGTCAATCGGTTCACTCTTCAAGTGATTGGCGGTTCGATCGATGAGTTGATCCAATTCTGGATCCAATTCAAGAATAGGACTCTTCAGCAACTCTTCCATCGTTTCCATAATATTATCTCAAAATTGTGTCCAAAATGTCAATCAATNTCAGCAACTCTTCCATCGTTTCCATAATATTATCTCAAAATTGTGTCCAAAATGTCAATCAATTAAAGGATTTGTTTTGAAAACAAATACACAAAAAGGGAGCGTCTCTTCATTTACAACACTTCCAATCATTTCTTTCATTAATTGTCTTTCAAATCAATTTTCATTTCCAATAAAACATTTAATAATTAATAAATTGTGGTTTTAATCGCTTTTTATTGAAAAATAAACAATTTTTCTTAGTTTTCGACACTTTTTGCACAAATTATGCAAAACTTTGAAATCCTTCGCAAAATTCTGTTCAAATATTTGCCAAAACTTGAAACAATTGAAAAACTATTAAAACTATTAATCGTTTGTTCAAACAGTTAATGAAATACCAATTTTATTGTCGAAAAAATGGCGAAAACGTCGCGAAAGAGAACCAATTTGTCGCTATTCTTCGCCATCTTTCTAATGATGATTACTTTCATGTCTTTTCTCATTCTTATATATTATGAAACTCACAAACCGTTAGTTATTGAGACAAAAACGGGCAAAATAATGGCCACAACTGTCACTCGGCTCGGAAAGAGTGTCCACTGTTTCTTCGGCATCCCTTACGCCGAACCGCCGGTCGGAGGCTTGAGATTCAGGAAAGCGGTTCCAAAGAAAGCGTTCAAAGGTTTGCTTTTCAACACATTTTGCAAATGTTTCACAAATTCTTTCGCAGAAACTCTAAAAGCCTTTAAACAACCGAATTATTGCTTTCAACGCAAGACAACAATTGACAAGAGCTCTGAATACGTGAAACAAGTCCTCAAATACATTCCCGATTTGAACCACTATTTCGACGTCGAACGCGCCGAAGACTGTCTCTATCTCAATGTGTTTGTTCCCGACTCGGGCGCCAACAAGACGGTGATGGTGTGGATCCACGGCGGGGCCTTCATCTCCGGTCAAATCAGTCATTACGACGGATCCATTTTGGCCGCCGCTCGAGACGTGATTGTCGTGACCATCAGTTATCGTTTGGGAGTGTTTGGCTTTCTGGCGGCCAACGGTTCGGAACTTCCGGGAAATTACGGTCTTCACGACCAGGTGTTGGCTCTGCACTGGATTCGCGATAATATCCACGCTTTCGGCGGAAATGTCGATAATGTGGTGTTGTTTGGAGAGAGCGCGGGCGCCATCAGTGTTGGCTATCATTTGATTTGTCCGCTGAGTCGCGATCTGTTCTCAAGAGCTATTCTCGAGAGCGGAAACCCTTTGGTTCCGATGATAATGGCCGACAGGAACATCAACACTGAGGCCACTCTCGACCTGATCCGCGCGCTCTGTCCGCACATCGCGGCCACACAAGTGGACAGCCGTGGGATCACGT